ATAAAGCTAAACAGTTGACAAAGTAACACACACACAAAATAAAATATACACTGGTATAAATATTTGTTTTAAATAAAAAAAAAATAGAAGAGGAACTGGAATTTAGTTTGTTTGAATTGTTGACTTGATTTACGCCAGTTTTTTCTCTTTGGAACGTTGCAGTAGATAATGGGAAACATTTTCATATACCACAAAGGTGATCATTGTGGCCGGTACAACACGATATAGGCTCGCCTGCAAACCTTTATAGAAACCACGGGCACCTTCGTAACTGCAATGAGATGGTAAAAAAGTGAAATTTGTACATTAGCAAAATTTTGGAACCAAAGGCTTACCTCGTACTACTTGGCTTTTATTTTTGGATTTTTTGTTTTATTTTTGTTTGGCTTACTTTATTATTTTTTTAGGGACAACAATAACTAATACGTTTTGTTTTTAATTTTTTTTTCAAATTTTAAAGGCTTTGAAAAAAATTAATTAAAAATCATTTTTAGCAAAGAGAGAGACAGAGCGAAAATACGTAATTAACAACTTAAGCTGAAGGAAGACACACATATTTTTTTTCCTGGAAACACACTTTTCAAGGCCTCTGTGAAAAGACACAAATTGGCCATGACGACGGACTCAAATAAAAGAGAAAAAACAAAATTAATAATGTATAATTCAAAAATTACACACAGAAAAAATAGGCTCTTTAATTTATAAGAATGTTGTGTTCTCTATCCATATACGTACATAGTATATATAGATGTGCTAAAATACTATAAACTATAATTGTTCTGGGTTTTTTGTTTTATTACATTCCTATATATTGCCATTAGTTGTTTTGTTGTTGTTTTTTTCATCATCTTCTTCTTTTACATATTGTTTGTCTTTTTGCCAAAAAAGAGTTTTAATTAATTATTTTCATATATAATAATTTTACTCTTAGACTATTTGAAAAAAAAGAATGCCATGTTTGCTTTAAGTGAAGAGTGAAAAGCCTTAGAAAATGCTTAAGTAATTAATAATTGTTTTTAATTTTTTTTGTTTTTTTTTTCAGTTGTGCTTATAGTCTATAGGTTGTATAGAATTTTTGCGTATTTTAAAATTTATTATTTTTTGTATTTTGTTTTTCATTCATTCATTTTTTTAAAAATAAATTAATCAAGTTTTTTTCCTTTAACTAAACTACAAACTAATAAAAAAGAAAGTCTTAACAACTAGTTGTAGTAGATAGGTAAGATAGATAGATGATAGAAAAAAAATATAAATATATAAGAAAATAATATCTTTAATTTTATTTGTAATTTTACAAAAATTAGAAAAATAAAGAGATTATTGAAACGACGTTTAACGAGCGGGCGTACATTTTTTTGTGTTTTGTTAAAAAAGGGTAGTAACAACAATTGTCTTCATTAATAAATTGACATATTTAAAAATTTTAAAATATTTTCAATTTCATTTTTTTAATCTAAAACATAGCTATGCTGTATTCTTTTTTTCTTCCTTTCGTTATGATTTAATTTTTTTTCGTACAGTACTCCACACATTTTGTCAAAAAATAACCTACTATTATAATCATATACACATTTTGTATTTCAATAACAAAAAATGTTTTGAACAATAAAATTTAAAGCTTAAAACCGGCTACTGGGGTGGTTTGCCGTCTAGTGTGTATGAGTCCTACAACATTTTCTTTTTTTTCAGAAGTGCGAAGCGTAGAATTATGTAATTAAAAAAGGGATATTCTTCAATAAGGGCATATTTATCATTTTTTTCGTATTAATTTTGAAAAAAGGGTCCTCCTAGAGGGTTCTGAAATGTAGTCCAATGCTTCACATTGTTTCTCAATAACCCCTGTCCATCCTAATTAGGGAACTGATGTTATAAATACTGAAAGTTGTAATGGATTAGTGGGAAACAGAGTTCAACATGCAATTCAGGTCCGCAAAAGATTACCCAGATAAAAAGACATTAAGACTTTATAAAGACCAATATGGCTATATAGAGACCTTCTAAATCAAAACTTTTCTTAATAAATCCAAACAATTTGATGTTATTCCCCTCCGAAAAAAATGTTGTAGGTTTTTTTAGAACAGAAATTCTATCACAAATATCGGAGGTTGGATGACTCCTCCCTCCTCCTCACCAAAGTTTCAAACCAATTCAAATTCAATTGAAATAAAATGAAATCGTAATATCTTGACAAAAAGAAATTCCATTTTCTCAACAAAATTAAAAAAAAAAATAAAATCTCCACACTTTTTCATAACTTACAAACTAGAACAATTTGAGGGGGTGGTTTGGGGGAGAAAATTAAGTATTTCTGGGTAATGATAAAAAAGACGCTTAGCATCTTTATGGAATCAGTTAAAAAAAAACTAATATTTAACTAAATTAAATTACATATAGCATATAAAAAAAAACTAAAAAAAATCTTATATATAAAATTAGAGATTTTAAAACCGAAAAAATACGTTTCTTTTAACATAAAAAATTAAAATAATAAAACTATTTTGTAATACATTGATCATCAACAAATTGTTGTTTTCACTTGTTATTCTTATTATTTTTTTCTCAAATTCTAAATTTTGTGGTTTACAAGAAAAAAATTTAGAAAGACAAAAAACTGAGAGTGCTTTTCTTTGAGTGATATAACACACGACACTGAGCATTGTAGTCGTATTTCTGTCATTTTTTGTGCTGCTGTTGTTGTTTTTTTACGAACTAGTAGTTTTTCTCTTTTGCGTTTTTTTCTAGATTATTTATGATTTTTTAAGATTCATGAGGATATATCTTTTTTTAATGGGGGGATGATGGTGGTTTTTGTTTTGTTTGTTTTATCTAGGTTATTTTCTATATATTCTAATATTGGAAATTGCCATGGGGTTTTTTGTTGCTGTTTTTTTAATTGGTCAATTTCTCCCATATTAGCATAACCATACAGATATTTGGTGTTACATGCACTAAATATGGCACTAGACCTTTATAAAAACCACGCATACGTTCGTACCTCCATGTTTGTTTAATACAATCCCATGTTCCCTGATAACTGTGATGATGATCCTGAAGACGGGCACGCACAACTTGATAGGGATATGTGGCGGCAGCTGCAATTAATTTTGATATAGCTGCAAATGCTAAATATTCCGATGTTGCCTGGAAGAGAGAATTAAAAAAAATGTGTTAATAAAAGCAATATTTTATTTAAGGAAAATAATTAAATAAGGTATTATAAAGAATATTTTTTGAAGGTCTAACAAGTCGTGGATTTTTTGAAGAATATTTTTTCGATGTCTATAAAAGGCGTGATTTTTTTTAAAGAATATTTAAGAACTTTATATCTTAATAGGTATCTAAATCCTTCAATTACAAATAAAAAATCATACAAAACCCCCTCTAAAAATAAATTAATGGCAAAAATACTAGTTGTTGACTTATTTCCTCCCATTATTCATTTTATTTTCTACGAAATTATAAAATAGACTTAAATATTATCTAAAAAACAACAAAAACAATTTATAATCACTCAATGTGCTATAATATATTATCACATATTGACACTGATCACAGACAAAAACAACAACAATAAAACATTTGATAATCAAGCAACTAAGAGGCAGCGTGTGACAACAAACCAATACATACAAAAACAAAAAAATATTGAATTCAATTGGAGGTAATAGTATGCCAGCCGCCAGGCACTTTCATTACCTCAGAGTAGTGTAGGAAATGGCGCAATATTTGTAAAAAAAATTCCACTGGCAAACAAAAAAATCTATAGAAATAAATACCGGTTTATTGCACTTGTGTCATATTCCCCATTAGAAAAAAAGATGAACAAGCGGGGGTCCAAGATGCATGCACAAATGTGAGAGATGAAATTGTGATACACGTGCCCAGTTTGCGGCCTAACAACTAAAATATTTTTGTTTAAATTATTAAAAAAAAATTGGCAATATCATATAGAAGATGATTAGAAACAGTAGTTGTTGTGTGTGGAGGTGGGTGGTGGTTGGTGTCTCTTTTGAATATAAAGTTGTCTAAACGGAAAACGCCGCTATGAATTGCAAACAAAAAAATCATATGATGAAATATAAGAGAGACATTGCGTCGCAACAGAAATCGTTATTTGTTGCGTAGAATACAAATAAATCATAGAATAGAAATAAAATACAAATAAAATTAAAAAGATCACAGTCTATACCATGCAAAAGGTAGAACAGGTACTTGTGTTGAAAGGCGGCTAGTAACCATAGAAAGTCTATGAATATTTATATGGAGGCTATGCCAAAACAATACCCTGAGAAAACAAGGAATCTTATGATGAAATATAAGCAAGACATTGCGTATTTAAATACATAAGGTTTTCAAAGGAAGAAAGAATATAAAAGAATATTTTTTAGGAATCAGAAAGACATTTTATGGACTAAGAAGACGTAGATCTTTAAAGGACTATAATAGGCGTGGATTTTTTAAAGAATATTTTTTCAAAGCCCATAAAAAAATTGTCAGTTTTTTAAAGCATTTTTTTCAAAGGTCCACAGAGGCGTGAGTTTCTTAAAGAATATTTCAAGGACTATAAAAGGTGTAATTTTTTAAAGAATATTTTTTACGGACTATAAAAGGCAGATATTTTTCAAAAAAAAGATCTGCCTTAAAAATCGTTCTTAAAAATATATGTATATATTTTTCAAGGACTAAAAATGGCATGTACAGTGGTGGTCACAGAATTAAAACATTTACTGTGGTAAACATTTTTTGATCAGCCCTCGATTCGTTTGAAGTATTTTTTAAATTTTTTTAATTCAGAACACTTCGATATACTGCACTTAAGAGATTTAGTATGAAAATGGAAAATTATTGCATGTAATTTTTCCATAAATAACGGTTTTTATGAAAATACGTCGACTTTGAAGTGGCCATATAATTAAAACATTGTGTAATTTTTTACTTTACTACATTTTTTGGAAATATTTTTAAAAAAGCTCTTTAATTTAGTTAAATTACGTAAACTAAGCACCGATGAAATCATTTAAGATAAAAATTTTTGAAAAAATTTGTAAAATCTATTAAAATTGCCAATAATTTGTACAGAACACCTTACATTCAGAAAATAACCCTTATTATAGAAAATAAAGGTCCGAATGCACCAGAAATTGCTAGAATTAGTAGAAAACAATAAATAATTCTTAAAATAAATAAATATTTAAAATAAAAACTGAAAAAATAGGAATTAACCTAAAAGAACGTCTCAATTTCGATAGCCTTTATTGAAGAAGGCCGGAATATTTTTGCAGTATGTGAGGAAATATCGATTGATATTGGCATTTATTATACCAAATCGATTGTTCGAGTAGTACAGAATATATTTTATCAAAAAATATATCAGTCACACCAGAACGAACAGAGATCAACACCTATGTTGACGAGAAAACGTTTCTGGTACACAGCAGCATGTTTGATGGTTAACTCTTGACCCTTAAAATCTATTGAACATGGCAATATTTTTCCAAAATAATATTTTTTGAATACAATAATGCCCATTTAATCTATTTTAGCCCAAAAGAAAGACAAAAATTACAATTTGACAAATATTTAAAGTCTTGTGTTGAGCATCAAAAATGCTGCTGTGTGGCAGAAACTTTTATTCGTCAACATAGGCGTTGATCTCTGTTCATTCTGTTGTGACTTGTATATTTTTTGAAGAAATATATTCTGTACTACTCGAACAATCGATTTGGTATAATAAATGCCAATATCAATCGATATTTCCTCACATACTGCAAAAATATTCCTGCGTTCTTCAATAAAGGCTATCGAAATTGATTTGTTCCTTAAGGTTAATTCCCATTTTTTCAGTTTTTATTTCAAATATTTATTTATTTCGATAATTATTTATTGTTTTCTACTAATTCTAGCAATATCTGGTGCATTCGGACCTTTATTTTCTATAATAAGGGTTATTTTCTAAATGTAAGGTGTTCTGTACAAATTATTGGCAATTTTAATAGATTTTACAAATTTTTTCAAAAATTTTTATCGTAAATGATTTTATCGGTGCTTAGTTTACGTAATTTAACTAAATTAAAGAGCTTTTTTAAAAATATTTTCAAAAAATGCTGTAAAGTAAAAAATCACACAATGTTTTAATTATATGGCCACTTCAAAGTCGATGTATTTTCATAAAAACCGTTATTTATGGAAAAATTACATGCAATAATTTTCCATTCTCACACTAAATCTCTTAAGTGCAGTATATCGAAGTGTTCTGAATTAAAAAAATTTAAAAAATACTTCAAACGAATCTAGGGCTGATCAAAAAATGTTTACCACAGTAAATGTTTTAATTCTGTGACCACCACTGTATATGTTAAAAAAATTGTTTAGGACTCAGAAAAGAGTGCATTATTCAAAAAATATTTTTGTAAGGACTGTAAAAGGCATGGATTTACAAAACAAAAAAACTTTTTCAAGGACTAAAAAAATTTTAGATTTTTAAAGAATTTTTTTTTGACTCAGAAAGGGGTGGAATTTTTAAAGAATTTTTTAAAGACTCAGAAAGACATGGATTATATTTAAAAAAATATTTTTTTGGAATGACTATAAACGAGGGAATTTTTAAAAATATTTTTTTGTGCTATAAAAGTTTAGGATTTTTTGAAGAATATTTTTAAGGACCAATTTCGTATACAATATATTTTAATACTAGCTTCAATTTTATATAGACTGAAGCTCTTCATAAAACTTCTACAGACTGAAGACCTTCAAAACAACTTCTCTATATTGAATACCATTAAAGGGACTTCTATAAATTGAGGATTTTCGATTTGTCATCTATAACTTGGGCATATTCAAAAGGGGTTCAAAAATATATTCTATAGTTAAAAGCCCTCATGATCGAGAAGACATCTTATAGATCTTACATCTACACGGTCTTCAATATATCTTCTAGAATGTTTTCTATGGATTGTTTACCTTTAAGAAGCATCTTAAACATTTTATGTTTAGAAAACCTTTTGAAGTTATTATTTTTCTGCTGAAGGTCCCAGTAAATTTGTTTCTATATGTTTTCCCTGTCGTTTTTTTAATAAAAACTTTTTAACTATTTATTAGCACTTACCAGTTTCGTATCGATTGGTAATTTTCGATATTCATTATAGCAGTTTTTCATTTCCTCATATGTCATAAATTGAATGGCACCATGAGAAACGCCCAGCATGCCAGGAACAAAACCCTATGTAGAAAGAAAAAATACAAATGAATAAACAAAAACTATTCTAAAAAAGGTTTTTCAAAAGCCCTTACCTTGTATAAGCCTCTAATGCCCTCTTCTTTGTATATTTGCGCCAGCGCATGTACCATACCGCGATATTCAGCCGATTTGCCATCAGCTCCACCATATTGCAAACACAGACGTGTCTTAACCACCCAAATCGGATTCGTCAAGACTAAAGTTAATGCACCCGATTGGGCAGCAGCCAACATATGCATTGATGGACCCAATGGCAGGGTGGCATTACCGCCTTGAATGAATGTTTTGATGGTATTGTAACTGAAAAGACAAAAAATTTCCGCATTATTTTGTGTGTCCAAAGAAGTGTGTGTGTGTGTGTGTGTTTTTTTCTACTTACAACATAAAGTATAGACCCCACGATGAACCGGAACCCCAAACATTGGGTGTTACACCCTTGTATAGACCGCGAAAACCTTCTTGCCGGAAAATGGTTGCAAACGCACTACCCAAACCACGATATTGTGGTACGGCTGCAGTGCGGCCATCATTCACTGCAAAGAAAAGAAAAAAATATTGAAATTAATATTGCGAAGTCATATGGTGGTTGACTAAAAGATAAATATAAAGTGACGTCAACTTGTTGTCAGGCGATGATTATCGCCGCTGTTGCTAGCATTTCAATGTGAAATGAATGTGAGTGCAGAAACAAAGGTGTTTTTTTCCAGAAATCTCATTAAAAATTAACATATATTGTGTTTTGTCTTAAATAGTGGTTAAGATTTTGGAGGAACGTACCCTTTGGCAAATAACATATATGACAAGAAGGATTAAAAACCTTTTTGAAAGTTGTATGTCTACTGAAGACCTCTTGAAGATCAATCTAAAAAATTTATATGTAGAAGACCAGTTGAAGGTCTTCTGTCGACAGTGGACCTCTTGAAGATCTACTATGCACAAATGCATATACGTAAAAGAATGTCTAGAATGTTTTCCGACCTCTTGAAGGTAATCTAACTATAGAAAGACTCTTATAGAATTTTAAAAATATGGAAAGTTTCGCAAATAGTCTATGTAGGTATATGTTCTGTTCCGGAACCAGACCACGTATCTATTATTTTCAACACAAAAATCCAAAAAACAAAATAATAAAAATAAATAGAGCGGGGTATTTGTTATACAGTTTTAAATATATTAACATATTTAGAAGTAGTGGTGGTCGCTTCTCCGCTAAGCAAATGTCATCGTGTTTTCGTTTTTTGATAAACAAAACTACAAGAAAACGTGAAATAAAGTGTAGGAGCGCGATAATATATACACGCGCCAACTTCACACGCCCTCTTCTTTCTCTTTTCAGACCGACAAAATACCAGTTTGTTATTTTTGTTGTTTTGAAAATGATTCGTTCAAAATGAAAGACAAAATTTGCCAAAAATAAAAAAGTACACATACACAACAACTTTTTGGGGGCTCGTCTAGGCGACGATAACAAACAACGATCACATCATGTGATGTTTTGGCTTTGGACGTTGATCTACTACTAGACAAGAAAGAGAGAGAAAGAATAAGAAGAGATCGGGACGATTGTGCTGTTCTAAAATAAAATAACCTTAACACGAAAAATTCACAATACTCAGTGTATTGTGAATTTTAGCACACAAAGACTACTGTTTTTTCATAAATATTTTTTGAAAATATGCTAAAAAATATATGTCTGTATGGATAATTTGAATATGGACTAATTACCCATATCAGAGAAAATGTGGTTTTCATACAACGACCACGTGGAAAATAAAATTTTTAAAAATACCAAAAATTTTACAAAACATCTCTTAAAGATTTTCTTATTTTTAGACAACCTCTTTAACCCTTTGAGCCCCGAATTTTTTTCGTAATCATAGAACAATTTTCTGTTCACAGATTTAATGCAACTATCCTAGATAAGATATGGACAAATTTTGACATCGCTACATCCTTGCATTCGGGAGATACAGTACATTATTTCTGAAAAATAAAAGCCCAATATCAAGAAAACCAAATGCAAAATCGACAAAAAAAATAATTTTAAATTATTCTCTATATTCTGTTTTACAAGAATCAAAAATAATTCTGACGGCAGAGTTCGTATATTTCAAATACGAAGCGATTTAAATAATTTGGACTGTATACACAAATTAGTACTGTACACATTTTTTGCCCTCTTCTCCATATTAAAAAGCTCATAACTTTACCAAAAATTTGAATTTTTTA